TGTCAACCATTTCAGCGGCCCGGGGCAAAATTTTTTCTACGAGGCCACTAGGCACAGGTAGCATATTAAGCGCAGAGCCCGGGGGCAATCGCCCCGTTCGATCCCACCTTAACACGGCCCTGTGCTTGGTCCAGTAGGCCGGCACGGGGAAAATTCGACGGTCCACGAACGATGACGTCAGTCAGTTGTCGTAGGAGATACCGACTCGGAAATGATCGTTCACGCTTGAAACGCGTTTTCGAGAGTAAACAACAGTGCAACAACATCATTACGTAGGGCGATGGTATCGCGATAACTTCGGTCCGAAGTCCGACGGTTGATAACATCGAACACGAACGTTGGTAATCGTTGGCAGCGGATCAATGCGATCACGACCGTCCGTCCGCGTTGCAGCAGGTGCCTGCGCGGTGGGAACAAGTGCGCGAAGTGCAATTGTGCCGCGCCGACGACGAGACGCTCGCGGGGGTCCGTGCACGGGAGGAGCCCGCGGTACACGTACGACACGAAACTGACCGCGCCGACCGTTCCAAAATGGAAGCCCGAAACCACCTCCATGTCTAACAAAAATCGAATGCCCGCTGATACAGCGCTGATAATGGCATAAATTCTTAACAATATCGTCCGTGCGCAACATAATGGTCTGCAAGACGTATTGTTTCCGCGTCTGACGTCGTCCGCGTCGCATCGAACGCCGTTTTACCGACGGAACTAATCGTTCGGTTTTTCACGTCCACCGCCGTCGCGAACGCGACACGAAATCGACCAAATCCGTTCGGTCCGCCCTGTCGTCGCCACCGCCGCCGCCTCCGCCGCCGCCACCGTCGCCGCCGCCGCCGCTGCCGCCGCCGCGGCCGCCGTTACAGCCTCAGCCGGACGATCGCGGGACAACTGGTCCGAACAGCGACGAACAGACGGACGAAAACGTTGGCCCTTGGAGCGTGCACTCGGCCGTCGGTTCAAATTCGTGCCCGGGCACCTGTTTTACGTCTTCCTTCCCCGCCCGACATCTCAACACGCGCACACACGGCCGCATCTGAGGTATTTATTTCGCTAACAACCCTTCCGTTTTGCCATTGCCCACCCTTAACGTTCGTCATCTGAAACGCTATCAACTTCGCCCGACATTTGTCTTCCGCCCATATTGTTCATGTTGACTTTCTTCTGTGTCCGATCGTAGCGAGAACTGCTTCTGAACACTAATGCTTGAATTTAGCTATTTTTTTCCCCTCTTAATGATAATAGTTTAGTTGTTTTCTACATCAATATTTTTGAGCGTATTGTTCGGATTGACTATTTTATTGGTAATAAAACACTAGGATTCGGTTAAAGAATGGTTTAATAATATTTAAGTTATTGTTTACATCAATGTCTTTAGAAGTGTGTTTACATTTTCCACCCATTACAGGTTTCATTTTGAGAGCATTTGTTTATAACAACGATTGATAGGTACTGTAGGTATATCTGAAAAATTAAATATTATTAATATTTAATTATTTGCTATTCTTAAAGTTTGTGTTGTTTTATCGGCTTTGTAATAATGCCTTGCGAGAAGCCAAAATAGTGTTAATTTTTTTTTCATTTCAACAAATGCTTCTTTTACAACAACAGAAATTTATTTTTATTTTGTTTCCTTCAAAGCTTAGAGATCAAATTTTTTTTCTGGTAAAATAACTATTTCAAACAATTTATATGTCTCTTTTTCTGTATGTTTTTATTTGTGTACATCTTATTTTAAAATAATAAATGTTGTGTAAAATATTTGAAATGTAAAGACTAAAGTATACTTAATTTATTTTATTTTAATTTTTTATCCAAAAACAATCATTGTGCCAAAACAAATGTATACTATGCATTTGCTTTTCTACCTGTAATTGACTCGGTTATTTTTTAATTGTATTAGTGGAAAATAGTAAAATATGCTGTTGATTAATAATAAACTTAACAAGATTTATGAGAATAAGGTGTGAATGCAAATTTCTCTTTTATATACATTTATTTAAGAAATATTAAAAGTGTGTATTTTTAAATTTTTCTTTTTTTCTTTTACTGGCCATTTAGGCCGTTTGTAGTCACTAGTTGCTTCCATTCTTCCCTGTTATGTGCGTAATTTAAGTCTCCATTCTACTCTGGTCTTAAGTCGTCCATTATGTCTCTTAGAACTATGTCTAATCATCATTGCTTTGTCTGGCCCCATAGTATTTTCTTAATTATGATGTATTATGTAACATGGGTATATTTTAGGGAGAGTGAAGGAGCGATTGCCCCCCCTTGAATCCGTATTTAAGGAATTGATTTTTATGTGAGAGATACACATTTCAAATTTTTGTAATGTAGATCATTTTATAAAAAAAATCAAATTACGTATGGCTGTAATTACCGAATTGGGCTTTTTGTTGGGTCAATACTTAGTGAAAAATCAAATAAACTACAAGCATAACTTCCAAAACACAAACAGGTGTTAAAAAATAACTACAGAAAATCGATTCTAAGTGGATCCAACATTAGATTAAAAAAAAAAAACCACAAATATTAAGGAATCAATTTTTTTAAAGGTTTTTTGATTTAAATATTTCCTAAAATTTTACTTGTAAATTTTGAGCCTGAATTAAAGAAAAAAAACCTAAACCCTAGAAGTAAGTCTAAATACCCCTCTGATTCACAAATACTATATTAGCTACACTATTTTCAGCAATGTTATTTTAATTATTAAAATTTTAAAAGATGTTTGTTTAAAATGTATTAATTTAGTACATATTAGTATAAAGTAACTCTTAGTAATGATGTTTAAACTGTACAAATAATTGTTTTGGCATATTTTTATCACACCATACCTGTATCATTTATAGAAACCTGATTTTTATATTTAATAAAAGTTATTATTATTTATGAATCATGTTTCATTTTCAAATTTTTGGAAATTTGATTATGTTTTAGTTATAATAAAGTAGTAGTATTGAAAATTATACCCTTTATGTTTTTTTGATTTCTCTACTTGTATTGATAAATTCAATGCATAATTCAAGACATAATTAATGAACTAAATATATGATATAGGTATTAGCTCAAGTATAAGTTAAACCTACAAATTATAATTAAGTTCAAAAAAATAATAAGTATATATATATATATTAAATTAACTATTTATAATTCATTATGTTTGTAATATACTATACAAATTTATTTTTAATTTTACAGAAATCAAATTAAACACAATATGTCTATGGAATTATGACTAAAATTATATGGATAAATCCCGTCTTCAAAATTATAATTAATCATTAATTGTGTAATTATTTTGATTTGTAAGTAATGAAAACAACTTACAAAAAAAAAAGAAAATAGATCTTCTTTTTTTGACTATGGATTTAAATGATCTTTGTATTGTCCAGACGGATATCCTGTTTAAATGTAAGTTGTATATTATTTATGTATGATACCAATGTTAAAATAAGTTAATTTAAATGTTTGTGTTAGTTATAATTTATTTTTCTATAAAAAGACTAACATAAATATAGTTGGTTATAATTAATAGTTATATATAACAATGGTAGAATAAACTTAAACCAATACAAAATTTAACCCATCAGATTATAATATTTTATGGCTTCTTAAAATTATACAAAGTACTATTAAATATCTTAATTTTCAGATTTATTTATTAAACAAGAAGTTTAGCATTTATATTTTCATATTTTTTTAATTTTAAATTCTAAGTGATACAAGGAATGTATTAATTTTAATGTCAGTATACACGATTTTGATTTGAATTGCTCTGATCATCACAATTATAAAAGATTTTTGATAATAAATGTTGCCTGGTTTGTACTTTAAAGGTGGGAAATTTTACTAATTACTTAAAATTATTCTTAATAATTATGTAAGACTGAAATAGAATATAGAAATAAAAACATTTACAACATTGAATTTTGTTTTTTCATTGTAACTTAAAATACAATAATGATAGAAACTTTTTTAATTGTATGCTTATTTTACTGTTTGATATAGTTGGTATAATTTTCAAACGACCTTTGAGATTTTTATAGATAATTTAAAATATTATGTTTTCTCAGCTCATGAGTATTTTAAATATTAAATTTTGACAAAACAAATTATCATAAAAATATGTTGCATTTTTGTGGTTAAAAATTCATAAAATTTTAAATTTTTATATTTGAGATTTTAAGAAAATTGGATACAAGTCATATTTTCTTTATTGCCAAAAAAAAAAAAAAAAAATAAAAATAAAAAAAAATACTGAAAAATTGCATAAATGTTTTATTAACAAAAAGTAAAATTTTATTAAAATCTGTTATTTAATTGAATATCCATTAAACAATAATAGCTATTTAGTCAAAAACTAGTTTCAAAATATTTTTATGACATTTTTAGTTTTTCCAAATTATATTTTATTTGAGTTAAGTAAAATGATAATGATCTTCAGTACACATTAAGTATTGTAAACTTAAAGTTAATTCATTTAATAAATGTTTTGAATAATTATCTTTGATAAGACTCATAAAATGTAAAGTTTTAATAACTGTAATAATTATCAATAAATGTTAATTGGATTTATGTGTTTATTACTAATTATTAGTCTACCTCTTATGTTTACTCAACTCCATTATTGTTGGTAATTCATATCATCATGGGTGTGCTAATATTAGTAATAGTTGTTCTCATTTAATTATGCAATACCTACCTATGTTATTTCATTAAAATGTAAAATGTTAAATAATAAATAATAATAATAATTTAAATGTTTAATAATTTATATTTATAAATGATAAATATTGTAGCTATGATAATTTTTTAATTAAATTAGTAATATGGGGTATAATCATATAATTTTTTTAATAATTAATTTGTGTATCTTTATTTAATTTAGGTACATATTATAAGAATCATTTATCAATAAATAAGTGATAAAAGATTCATTAACAATATGTTAATAAATAACAAATTATTATTGTTGATATCTTGAAAATGCCGATATCATTTAAATGGATTGGAAATTTATTACTGTGGGTAAGTAATAAAGTCTTGATTATTTAATTAATTGAAGCTTATATATTTTTATATTTTTCTCCCATTATAGTGTTAAACATTTTTGTAATTTCAACTAAAATTATTACTTTACTTTAGGAGCATTGGTAATGCAGAATTCGAAATTATGTTTTGTGTTGCTGTTATTGCTAATAACTTCAACATTAAAATGCAGTTTAGCAATGTCAGTTATAGCCAAATACCCACAGAATACACAGTCAGAATGTTTTTCGGACCATCTACTTCATATGGCTATAGACAAGAGTCCAGGAGGCCGTGTTTACATCGGAGCTGTAAACAAAATTATACAATTAGAGGGGTCCAATTTAACTGTGGAAACATGCACTAAAACTGGGCCCCTTGCCGATAGTTCTCAATGTCCGGCTAGTGGTTGTCCAACATCCCCACCTATTGAAACATCACTTACTGAAAATTATAATAAAATTTTAATCATCGACCTAGAATCTCGAATGTTAATAGCATGTGGGTCCATATTCCAAGGAGCATGCAACAAATACAAAATGGTAAATGTTTCATTACCAGCTCAATTTATTCCTATGAGTATTGCTGCTAATACAGAACAAGCATCTACCTATGCATTTATTGGACCTGAACATTATAACAATTGGGGTCATTCAAATGTACTGTATGTCGGAACAACTTTTACCAACAATGGAGATTATAGACATGCCGTACCAGCAATTTCAAGCCGTAGTCTTTATAACTTAGATCTTGCAGAGTTTTCATTTTCAAAACAATCTTCACTTAATATTAATGTTAACTATCGTGACCGCTTTCTTGTAAAGTATATATATGGTTTTAACTCTAGTGATTATGCATATTTCGTTATTGTTCAAAAATTTTCCCATTTACCTGGAAATGAAGAATTAGGATATGTTACTAGATTAGCTAGAGTTTGTATAGATGATGCTAATTATGATAGTTATACAGAAGTTACTTTGCAATGTATGGTTAAAGAATCGTCTAATAGTAAAGATTTGGTGGATTATAATCTTGCACAAGATCTTAAACTTAGTAATGCTGGTGAAGACTTAGCTGCTAGTCTAGGCATTGATACTGATGATCAAGTTTTAGTGGGATCTTTTTCACCAAGCCAAAGCATTACTAACAATGAACCTAAATCACAATCTGCAATATGTGCTTATAGTATGCAATATATTGAGTCAAAGTTTAACGAAAATATTCACATGTGCTTTAATGGCACAATCAAATATCGTAACATGCCTTACATTTCTGGACTAATATTACAAGGGAATTGCCCTACTGCAGGAGTGAGTGATTTAGAATAAAAATTTTTTTTTTATTTCTTTTCATTAAATTTATATGTATAATTTTCATTTTTAGTCAACTGGAAATATATTAAACTTTTGTGAAGTTGGGTTGAAAATATCTGGAACTGAACCAATAACTACACAATCTGCAATCAATTTCCCTAATGATCTTATTTCTTCAATCACTTTGGCAACAACAGAAAAGAATACTATAATTTTCTTAGGAACTTCAACAGGAATTCTTAAAAAAGTATTGTTGTCATCATCTACACATGGAGTGAACTATGAAGAAGTAGTATTAGATGATGGAAATGCTATATTACCTGATACGTCACTTACTACCAACGGAGAACACCTATATGTTTTAACGCGATCCAGTGTAAGTTTTTTTTAGCAAATTCTTAAATTTAAAAATGTATTATAAATTAAAATTATAATAGGTACTGAAAGTCAGAGTTGAGCACTGCAATAGTTTTACTAATTGTTCTTCATGTCTGGAAGCAAATGATCCATACTGTGGTTGGTGTTCTCTAGAACGAAGGTATGATTATGAATTAAATATATGTTTGACTATTGTATGTATATTGTAATTAAAACTACAAATTTCTAGTTATAAATGTTTCAAAGATATATATTTCGAGTATTATTTGATTTGAAACTGAAAATGACTTGAAAGATTTTTTTTGTAAATTAATTCTCTTAATCCCTAATTAAAAATATATAAATCAGGATACAAAAATTTGTTTTTCATTTAATTATTAATACATTTTTTTAAATTTGTTAAAAATCTCTTTAAATTGAAGATTAAATAATATAATGTATCAAAACCCATGGTGGTTCTGGAGAAGCCTCAAAGAGTGATGTCAAAAATATTTTGTATATATTTACGTACATATTCCAGTTATTTTTTCATATTGCTTGGTGTATGAGAAGTAACTAAATAGTTAAGAACCTCTATTGGAGCAAACATTTTAGTAAACAGTAAATAGTTAAGACATTAACTTTTTTTTTTTAGTAAACTGTTTGCTCATTTAAACATAAACCCGGATAAGAGGAGATCTAGAAGGGTCTGCTTTTAGTCTTCCCCGTTTAACCACTACTGATTAAAACGTTAAAATATTTTTTTAGTTTATTCCAGATAAATAATTTTATGAATAACCTTTTTTTTAATTCCAATTGAATATTTTATTACATTTTATAAATTTAGTAAAATATTTGTGTATAATATGTCATATTTTAATTGAAGTTTATTATTGTGTGTAGAATGATTTATTTTTAAGATAAAAAATTTAATTTTATTCAAATTAGTTTAATAATTATCATTGATAAATTATCAATAAAATGTTTATATATTTATATGTTAATTTACAATTATTAACCTTTTAATAATTTTTTTTTCTTTAGTTACATTTTTATTATTTTATTATGATAAATTATCATAAAAAATAAAGCTTTAATGTATATGATTTATTGTAAACATACTGAAATTATCTACATTATAATCTCAACAAAAATCTATTTTTAATAATTTATTTGATATATTTTCAATTTATTATTTGTTTCATTTTGTAAATTACTAGAACTATATATATATATTATATTTTGTAATAGTTATAAGATAAATAATTACAAATTAATTTATTTTTAATTCAAATACTAGATGTACTGTAAGAAGTACTTGTCAAAAAGCAAGCCACAGTTCACCTCGATGGTTATCACTAGGTAGTGGACAACAATGTATTGATTTTGAACAAATAAATCCAGATCGTATTCCAATACATCAAATGTCAAAGGTAATTATTAAAAACTTTCCTTTAAATAAACAATAAGGTAAAAATCTAATTATTATATTTACTTATAATATCTGTAATTATTGTAGTTGTTGAAATTGTAATAAATTATTTATTTTTATTATTCTAGTTACAACTTACAGTTAAAACATTGCCAGAATTACCCATTGGAGCAAAATACCGCTGTGTTTTCGGTAAAAGTGAACCATTGGATGCAATTGTGATGCCATTTGGTTTACAATGTTCTACTCCTTCAGTTCAATCACGTCCAAAAATACCAAAAAATCAAGATCATGTATATGTGTCTTTGTCAGTGAGATCTTCAGAAACAAATAAAGATTTTGTCAGTAGAAATTTTGCATACTATGATTGTTCAGCACATGACCGTTGCATGGGCTGTGTTAAATCTCAATGGGCTTGTAATTGGTGTGTTTATGAAAATAAATGTACAAATAATATTTCTAGTTGTCAACGTATTATAATAAGTGGTGAAAATGTAAGTGAAAATCTATTTTATTGTATGCAGTATTTGTTATTTTATTGAAATATTTATTTTAGAACCCTAACCGTTTAAAAAACCATGGTGCTATGTTTTGTCCACGGTTTGTTCAACCAGCTCAAAAAATATTACTGCCCAATGGTGTTCCTAAAGAAATTGTTCTGCAAGTAGAAAATTTACCCAACCCTCAAGTCGGGCATACAGGTTTTCAATGTATAATTAATATTGAAGGGGCCAAGCTAATGGTTCCTGCAAGGGTTGAAGAAAAGTATATTGTCTGTGATAAAACTACTGTAAGTTTTAGATTTTTAATGATCTAAGATTTATTATGATAATGTAACTTATTAACTATGTTCATATATTAAATTAGTACTCATATGAAGCTAATTCTGGAGAATATGATGCTATGGTTAGTATGGTTTGGAACAGAAATCATCATGTTGATACAATTAATGTTACTTTATACAAATGTGATATTCTTGGATCTCATCGAGAACACCCTGATTGTTCCTTATGTGTGACACGAAATCGTAAATATCATTGTACTTGGTGTTCAAGTACTTGTGTATACTCAGAAACTTGTTTGGAAAAATCTACTAATGAATGTCCTAAACCAAGAATAGATATGGTATGAAAATCGTGTACTAGTTATTCATGAAAATGTCTATAATATAATATTTTTTTTTTAGATAAAACCTCTAAGTGGACCTATTGAAGGAGGTACTATGGTTACTATTGAAGGAAGTAATTTAGGTTTAAACAGAGAAGATGTTTGGGGTAAAATTCACATTGGTGGTATTTCATGTCATTTAGTTGATTATGAAGTATCTGTAAAAATAGTCTGTAGAACTGGACCATCAAATTCTGAAAAAATTGCATCTATTGTTGTTGGTAATAATGCTGGTGTGACAGAGTCTTCCGTGCACTTCAGTTATAAGGTATAATTTATGATGAATATTATTTATTTAAGTTTTAAAATTAATCAAGTATATTATATTCAACAGAATGTTAAACTTGATAAAGTGTCTCCTATGATGGGACCCCAGAGTGGAGGTACATTATTAGCCATTAGTGGACACAATTTAAACATTGGAAGTTCAGTGACTGCATTCCTTGATAATTATCCATGTACAGTCAATTCAACTCATGCTTCAAGCACGAGACTTACATGTATAACTTCGTCTGCAAGTAGACCCCAAACCATTAACTCAATGTATTTGATTATTGATGGTTCCAATAGAACATTATCAAAACCTTTTACATACCGAAGTGATCCTACTGTTGCTGAAATTAAACCACTTATTAGCTTTTTGTCGGGTGGAAGAATGATAACAGTTCATGGGACAAACTTTGATATAATTCAAAAACCAGAAATGGTTATTTATGTCGATTCAGATTTTGTCCATCCTATTAACAAAACTGTAAGCATATATTTTCATATTAAATATAAAGCCTTATTTTTAAAAGTTATGATTACACTTCATTTTAATTTTATCATAGGAATGTGTAGTTCTTAATTCAGCACAAATGGAATGTCCCTCTCCTTCTGCTAATAGTCAATTTCTTAAACATATGAAGAATTTTAGGAAAAGAAGGAGACATGCCACAAATGGGAAATATGTTGATTCTTATCTGACTTTGAAAGTTGGCTTTATAATGGATAATGTTGCCGCTGTTAGAGATTTAGAAAAACATCTAAAAGTATTGCAATCTCAAATCGTTTATGTACAAGATCCAAAGTTTTTCCAATTTCCAAATACTATTAAATCATACAAAGGAGATACATTAGTTATTGAGGTAGGTAAAAATATTAATAAAAAATAATAGGTTATTATAATTTGTTTATTTAAGTTATAGTATTCATCATACAGTATTATTAATAATTATAATAATTGAGTCATTAACAAAATATTTGCTCTTTCTTATTTATAAAAATTATAAACATTTACTATGCATATATTTATTAATTTTTAGGGTGAAAATTTAAATTTAGCATGTGATGAATCTGATGTTAATGTAACAATTGGGATGGAAGTTTGCAACGTGACATCATTAGCCAGTACACAATTAGTTTGTATTCCACCACAATATCAACCACAGTCTATTGATGATTTTGGATCTCCCACAAAAACAGGATTGCCTTTAGTTGTGGTAAGTTTGATTTAAGGTTTATTTTTATTAATGAAGTACGATTATTTTGAAAAAATTTGCTATTAATTTGTAGTTTTCTGAGATTTAATATTGTTATTAATTATAATGTTATTTTTTTTTAATGTAAAGGTTCGTGTGGGTAAAAAGCTAAGATTCAATGTGGGATATTTACAATATGATGTGATGTCTTCTTATTCATTTTCACCTGAGGCAATTGCAGGTGCCGTTACTGGCGCTTTGTGCATAATTATTATATTTTTTATTATATTGTTTTTGTACCGAAGAAAGTCTACCCAAGCTGAAAGAGAGTATAAACGTATTCAAATTCAAATGGATACATTAGAAAGCAATGTTCGCTCCGAATGTAAACAAGGTTCTTATTACATTTTATCATTTTAAATTTTCAATTAAAATTTATATTAAATATTCAATAATCTTTTGATTTAACTGTTTAAAATTAATGTTTATTAAAATTTGATTATAATTGTTTTTTTTTACTTAAGCGTTTGCTGAATTACAAACTGATATGACTGACCTAACTGCAGACTTAGAATCTTCTGGTATTCCTACATTAGATCACAATGAATATATTTTGAAAGTATTCTTCCCTGGTGTTCGAGACCATCCTATTTTAAATGAATCAAAAGTAAGAAATGATTTTGGAGTAAAATTTAGTTATAGTAATTAAAATATAGTAAAAAGTATCAATACATTATTTTTTTCTTCAGGTTGTTATTGCTGGATCTACTACAAATTATGATGCAGCTATGATTCAATTTGAACAGCTCATAAATAATAAACATTTTGTTCTATCATTCATTGATACTCTCGAATCTCAAAAAACTTTTAGTATTCGTGATAAGTGAGTTTTTATAAATAATTTTAAATATATTCATTGTTTGTATAATTATTATTTATAATTCTTAGAGTAAATGTTGCTTCATTATTGATGGTTGTTCTAATGAATAAAATGGAGTATGCAACTGATGTGTTAAGAAGTTTATTACTTAGACTGATTGATAAATCAGTTATGTCTAAGCATCCACATTTAATGTTGAGACGAACTGAATCTGTTGTCGAAAAAATGTTAACTAATTGGATGGCACTCAACATGTATAAATATCTTAAAGAATATTCAGGATCTTCATTGTTTTTACTTTATAAAGCCATAAAACATCAAGTTGAAAAAGGGCCAGTTGATGCAATTACTTATGATGCTAGATACAGTTTGTCCGAAGACCGTTTACTTCGAGAACAAATAGATCATCGTGTTGTTGTTAGTACAATACAACTAAAATAAAATTTTATTTAACCTTACTTTTATTTTTCTTTTATAAATTTATCTTATGAGTATATTGTAACCTATTTGTATAATGTATATTATTTTCAGAATTTATATGTTATGCATGATGAATTGGATGATAAAGTGCAGTGTAAAGTCTTAGACTGTGATACCATTAGTCAGGTTAAATCAAAAATTCTTGACGCTGTCTATAAAAATACAGCATTTTCGCTTAGACCATCGGTATATGATGTTGATTTAGGTAAGATTAATGAGTTATTATAACTTATTCTTCTATTATAATCTTTGTATTATTACAATTAAAGAATGGCGTCATGGAAGAGGAGGTCACCTTACACTCCAGGATTATGACGTTACAACTAAGAATTTATGCGGATGGAAAAAATTAAATACACTTGCACATTATGGTGTAAAAGAAACTGCTGTAATGACTCTTATTCCCCGGCAACACGACACATACAATAAAACCTGTTTGCAATCGTGCCACAACTGTAATTATATAAAAATATGAATATAAATAAATTAAGAAGTATAATGATAACATTTTAATTTAGGTACATCTGCATATTATTCTGGAGCTATTATTTCCACCAGCAATGGAGGTATTGATACAGGGTCTAGTTCCAATGGTACCGTGTATCACTTGGTTAGATCTACTGATACACCACAACAATATCATACAAACAAAATGCCAGAAAGAACCCATAAAGCTATTCCAGAAATATATTTAACTAGATTATTATCAACAAAGGGAACAATACAGAAATTTGTTGATGATTTTTTCTCTACAATTTTGGCAGCTAATGAATCCCTCCCCCCAGCGGTCAAATGGTTGTTTGATTTATTTGATGAAGCAGCTAAAAAATACAATATAACTGATCCAGAAGTCGTTCATTCTTGGAAGTCTAATAGGTACTTTTAACATGTTAATTATTGCAGTACTATTAATCAATTTTTATAATTATAAACATTACAAATATTAAGTTTATAGAATTAATGAATGAAAATCACGTTCATAAGATATATATTATAGTATTTATAAAATTATACCTGAAAGACTGATGTTTAAATTGTTGTATTTAATTTACAGTCTTCCACTGAGGTTTTGGGTGAATTTCATAAAAAATCCAGATTTTATATTTGATATTGACAAAACTCCTACAGTGGACTCTTGTTTATCAGTTATTGCTCAAACATTCATGGATTCATGTTCTACTTCAGACCATAGACTTGGGAAAGATTCGCCTTCAAATAAACTTCTTTTTGCAAAAGACATCCCTCAGTACAGAGAGACCGTTTTAAGGTAAAAATTAATGTTTTTCAAAAGCATCAGACTCGTTAATAAAATATATTTTTTAAAATGTAAATAATATTTATATTATTTCCAGGTTTTATAGTGACATTCAAAATCTACCTCAAATAACAGATCAAGAACTAAGCACAACTATGCAACAGTTGTCTGTTTCTCATTTTGGCCAATTTCACATAGTTTCTGCTTTGAAGGAACTGTACATTTATGCTTCCAAATATAATGATGCGGTACGTTAATAAATAATTTAGTAATTTAACATTTATATGAATGCATCCTTAAAAATTTATTTTTTAATACAACCGTATTCTTTTAAAATATTAACTATTTAATTATATTTTTAAGTATATTTCACTATATCGTATTTATTTTATTAGTAATTATATCATTGCCTCAGTTCAAGTCTGCAATAACTGAAAAAAAAAATATATAGCAATAATTCAAAAATATTCAGAATTGAATTATCTATGTAATAATATTTGAAAAATTACGACAATTTTGATTCTATATCGCAATAACTTTTAGTTACATTATTCACCTCTAGAGGTTGTGTATTTCTTTCTAGAACCAGTAGTTTCATAATTTGAGTTATTGCAGTCTTAAACTAAGGCGTCGATATTATATTTTATAATGAAATTATTAAGCCAGATGTGTTATTAATTAACTGTATTCTTTATAGATTTTGGACTCATTAGAGATGGATCCTTATTGTCAAAAGATTAATCTCAGTCATAAGCTTAATAAAGTGGCTGGAACTCTTGAAGGAGATGAAGTGGCCATATGCTGACAATAGACTGATTATTTACTTGCGACTCTATCCTGTGATAAAGTGTTTTAATGTGTACAGATTACTTAGTAGTTATATTGACACTTTTTAATAATGTTTATATATTAATATATATATATATATATATATATATATATACATAATGTTTTTAATATTATTTGCCATTATAGGCAAATTATAATTGACCACCAAGAATTATACGCCTTAATATTTGTTAGGTTGTTAAAATAATATAGTAGTTATTTTATTGTTGAGCTGATCAAAATATTTTTATTTTGCTATGACAGATCTATTCTGAAATGGTGTGTATTATCTAATTTTTTGGTTGAAAATTGTAAAAAAAAAATTTCTTTTTTCTTTTTTAAAAGTTCCCTATTCGACGCAAATTAGTATGTTAACATGAAAATTATTTTTTTTATCTTATGCATATTTAAAAAATATTTTGTTCAATTTAACTATATTTTATATGTCATATTTACTTAAAATTTAAATTATTATTATTATTTTTTTTCTATCAAATACTAATGGATTATTGTATGATAAATTAATTATTTTGTAATCATTTTTCGTTTTTTTGCTTTTTGAACTTAATTTTTACTCAAAATTATAAACAGTTATTATTGGCTAATTAAATAAAATAATATTTAAAGAAAAGTACAATTTTGTATACATGACATTACTATTACTATTATTATTTTTCATAAATTATATGCCGAAATAATTTTTGATTTCTTACTTTTTTATAACTAATGTATAAAACTATTAATTCTATAATTTAGTTTTATTAATAAATTTTGCGTGGTCAAATATAGTATACATGACATTAAAAAAAAAAAAATTTTCGATTCCGTCCCGATTAATACATAAAAAATATGTGAAAAACAGTGCAAACAGATTTAGCTAAAAGATAATATTCTAAAAGCAAAAGTTAAATATTTTTTTATTATTATTCAATAATGAATACTTGGCTTTTGCTCCGCCTAATAGTGAATTTTTAAATTGTATTGTGGTATATTCCCAATGAAATGTACCTACTATTATTAATTTTAATTTGTATGAGTAAAATATTTGTATTATTTTTACTGTTATGATTAGAAATTTGTGTTAAATAAGTTCTGTGCCCGTTTAATATACATATTGTTATGCTTGTGTTGCTTCAAGTGAATGTCGAAAAAATAACAGTTTGTGTAACTCATTTATTTTCCAAAAATTTTTTTAGATAAATACATACTTAATCTATTTTATATATCTATGGTCTGATTAATTTACACCGTTAGATTAATTATTTTCATTTACGCACATTTCTGTCTAATAGTATATCATTAATGTATTTTAACAATTATATAACATTTATAATTTAGTATACTACAAACTTAAGTTTTTATTATTTATTTATACATGTTATTTTGACAGTTTTTTACCTGTATTTCATTGCTGCTATTTAAATATACTTCCATTTGTCTTAGTTGTATTAAAGTCTCTTAGATCTCACTAACTTAAAGATAATTCAATTATATTTCCATGTAAACAAATTGTATTATTGCATTTATCTGTACTTGTATACTTAATAATCTAGCATTTTAATGACTTCAAGCGTATGAAATCAAAACAATTATTTCTCTTTAGTGTAAAGTGTATAAATATTATAAATATTATTTTAAGATTTAGTGTAAATGTTAAAATTAATTATATATATATTATATATATATAATAAAATATTATACTATTATAATGTGTTCAAAATGTTCTTAGAAAAGTATTTTACACGAAAAAAGCAAATTAAATATTGATTTAAACCTATTCATTGTTTTGCTTATTTTATAATTTTATTTATAAGATATATTTAACTGTGAAATTGTTATTATCCTCATTTTCATAGTTAATTCTATATCACTATTGTAAAGAGTTTTACAGTTTTGAAAAACTAAGTATACGATTCATCAAATCGATTTGAAAAATATCAAATTATCGTTTTTACAGCTGTGATTGTTATCCAGTGCCCTATGTCGTAAAGGTCTATGAATTAATGGTAATAATGTGCAAATTATTTTCAAAGCTATTGACTATATATTAAGCATCTTATTTTATTCTAAATTGTGTACAAGTAATGGTAGAAAAATGCACGAGATGTTACATAATTTTATAAATGTATATCGAAAATATATATGCCAAATTTAAAAAATGTACGTGATTTGTAAGATCCTACAATATTTTTCTATTAATTAGTTTCACATTATTTTGAACAGAAACTCTTATAACTGGTATTTACGAACTATTAAAATTGATGGTTCGAAAATACTCTATAAATAATAATATAATGTGTGTGAATAATATATACATTAAAATTAAGTATATTAGTGTTCGTATAGGTACTTCGTAATCTTAGAATTGAAAAACTAATTTAATCGTTTAATTAATTTAAAGAGTAATGTAGGGTCACACAGCAGGCAACGACGCGCGTAGTCATCAGTTCGGCTTAGTGCAGAATTGATTCTGTACCATAGTCTTACCATCGTTCTGGTTGCTCTGCACTGGTCCCCTGCGGACCATCTCCACTGGGAGTTAAGTCCACACACGTGATAATTCTCTTCGTAGAGTAGAAGGTAAAAGTGTTACAATCGGCTTTACCCTCTCAAGCGAAAAGGATATTGTCAAAGCATGTCGGTATTTTCAATCGGGGGAAAAAATTGATATCAATGTTACAACTAGAGTTAGGGGATAAAAACACGGGGTAACGAATCGAGTACAAAACGTAGATTATGGTTTTCTGCTTGGGGCAAAATGATGCTGTAGCATCCCAGACGATCTACGTCACGTATATAATGTAGAATAATCCCATAGACGAATATTTATTATCATTTTTCATGAGCCGTTCGGATGAGGAGCAGAGGTGGAACTAGGGGTTGGAAGACGGAGATTTATCCCCGGGCGTAAATCTTTAGAGAGTGTAATTTATTAACAACTAATTTGATATCCTTAACTTCGTTAAATACTGATATTAGGTTAAAACTCAATAATTATTATTATATATTAATAATTAGAAAAAATCTCTCGAGAAGAGTATTTGATCATTGGTCTACGATAAGGCGTAATTTTAACATTTTCCCCGGGCGTAAAACTTCTTAGTTCCACCATTGGTGTGGGCTAAGCGTCCGCGGTGATGTAACCAGCATGTGTTTAAGCTTATCGTTCCAACGATGCGAAAATGTGCTCGAAAGCGGAATAACCGAGCGTTTATATCAACAACAATGTTTGATTACGTTTGAAAAATGTATTGACATGGCGACGTCTCATTTGCCGACGCACGGGGTTGAAAACGAACGATCAAAATTCGCCCGTCGAATTTATTGCTTTTACGCGCGAAGCAACCAGCCCACTCGCATCAGTGTCAAAAGGCTTGACGTTTGTTTTACACGGTTATCGATTCCGTTTCACACCGTCGTGAAGCCGTGACGGACGCGAAGAAGCGGTTCCCCGCGCACGTTTTCAAAGCGTAACCAAACACTAAATAATTTAATAACCGGTCGTTAATGTCGCGTTAATGTTCGGGGAAATAAAATGTGTACATTAAAAACCTGTCCATAAAAAAAAAAAAAAATTATAGCATGGAAACGGTCGGGACCGAATATGTTTTACATTTCCGACACGTTCCCGTTTAGTACAGGTCGATGAAAAAAAATTTATCTACAAAAAATATTTGTTATTATTTTATAGTTCTTGGCTATTTATTAAATCTCACCAACTTTTATTGCGCGCAGTTAAATATTTTATTAAAATTAAAAATTGTATGTTCAAGAATTGCAATAAACTTGTACTTCCGTACAACATTTTTCTTCCAGGACCCTAAAGTTTTTTTTTTGTCTTCAAACCGTATTCTTTACTATTAAATTGTTCTCATTCAGAATGGGTTCTACGAGTTCATTGCAATTATTCTGGCCCAATGCGAACACATCTAAAAGTTTTATTCCTACAAAGTAATTTTTATACACATATTACCCACTAGCCAATGCCGACAACGAACACGTTATCATTTTCGTCATCAGAACTGGGTTGTTTTAGCGTCTTTTGAATTTATAATGCTATCAGTATCGTTATTATTAGTACATAAATGCATGTCGTGGTTAACATTTACTTCATCATCAACTTTTTCGTTCTTTTCGTGTACCCTATTAGTACTAGAAGTTTTTCAACAATCAACGAGCACACAAAAATAGCGTGAACCATTAGGTTTATCGGTTTAGGCTCATTGTGCGAACAGGCATAGATACATTTTCTAATGCAATTGCATTAGAAACTGTCTAAAATTAAATACACGGTCTTTTAATTTTTAATAATAATATTAAGTGTTCAAATTCTCAAAATAATATAAAATCATTTTATAAGAAACTATACATTTATTTTAGGGTTGTTTTTATACCTTTGGTACATCTAAGTGGGACATTATTTTTTTATTTCCCTGGTAGAAATTTCTAACCCAGTCCGGCCCTGACTGACAGTATTTTGATTGGTAATGCACGAAATAACAAGCCCGTTTCACCACCATTACAAATATGTTCAGGTTCATACCGATCAATAATTACTAATTTTAATTTCTCTTTTCATTCGTCAACATTTCTTACTTCGACATTATTTGACTCACCGCAAATTTGACGTCAAACAATATTATGTCGACTTATAAAACTTTCCAACCAGCCATTTGATGCTTTGAATACCGTCATTGACATTTGTTCAGCAATTTGACGTGCTTTAGACGTATAATTGGTCTGGAAATTGGCATGTTTTTTGCTCTAAATAACCACAAGTTATATTATTTATTTTTTCGTTTGCGTTTGATTTTGGGTTTCTTTTCATTCGCTCATTTCCTAAAATATAAATTCTAAGTAGATTTGTATTTTCAATTTTGCATTAATTTATGTAGTTAAGCTTACCATTCATTCATTCATTCATGTTCTTTTATTTATATTTTTACCTTTAGTATATTATAGACTTAACTTTTCCAC